TTGGTGACGGCGCTGACCACGGCGGCAGCATCTCACTGGAGGGAGGAACAACTACCGGTAAAGCAAGCGTCGGCGGGTCAATTGCTATTTCGTCTGGTGGGAGTTTTAATGGTAATAGCGGCAGTGTAAGTATGGCTACCCTAAATGCTGACTCGGCAGGAGACTCTGGCGATTTGATCATGGCCACTGGAAACACCAATTTAGGTTCCACCGGTTGGGTTGAGCTTGTATCTGGTGACTCCGCTAGCGGCAACAGCGGCAGCGTGGTGATTGGCGCAGGATCCAGTGCTGCAGGAAGTGGCGGGCATGTAATGCTTTCCGCCGGGGCGTCAGGATCTAGACCAGGCGGCTCAGTGGACGTACTATCTGGTGCTTCAGCAGGCGGTCCCTCGGGCAATGTTTCAATCTCATCATCATCGAACTCTGGCACTAAAACTCGTGGAAGCGGTAACGTGACGCTGACAACCGGAGACGCTGAGACGAACGTGGGGTTGACGTCCATCACGGGAGGTTTTTCACAGACCGGAAGTGGAGGTAGCGTGCTCGTCGATGCCGGTGATAGCTCGAAGGGTATTGGCGGGACAGTGAGTATCGTGTCAGGGACGTCCATTACAGGCGACTCGGGAAAGGTGAACTTGAGCTCGGCTGCGGTTTCGTCTGCAGCAAGCTCTGGGGCTGCATCGGGCACGGTGTTGGTGGCGACTGGAGATTCAAGTGCGATAGCCGGTACGATGAGCATTGCGGGGGGTAGGGGTGGTGTAAGTGGTGGCAATTTGACGCTGACTGCGGGATTTAGCGGATTGCAAGCTGGTGGAAACGTGAACGTTTCTGCTGGTGGTAGCTCTACTTCGGACGGAGGAGGCACACTCATATCTGGCGGATGGAGTAACAATCAGACCTCTGGCAGAGTAGAACTGCATACGCGGTCTGGTCGGGCCTCTGGTGCGATTAGATCAACGACCGGTGCGTCTAGTCAAAACAGCGGTGTAATACTGTTGAGTACGGGCTCTTCGGTGGATGGCAATAGCGGCAGTATTGGACTCCAAACTGGTCGGAGCGCCAAAGATGCCGGAAATGTAACCGTCGCTGGAGGGAGCAGTCACTATGCTATGGGCGGCGGCCTGACGTTGACTTCTGGTGGTACTGAATTTAGAAGTGGAAGGAGCGGTAGTGTTGCTATTGCAAGTGCTGATACGTCGAGCGGGATGGTGTCAGGATCTGTATCGGTTGTCTCCGGTAGTATTGGCAGCGGGTCAAGTGGTTCGACGCTTGTAGGAACCGGCGACGCAAGTGATGGAGTTACTGGAGATCTCGTGCTGAAATCCGGCTATAGCGCAACTGGTAGTCCTGGAAGTGTTTCTGTTGTGGGTGGGTCGTCTGGTCGACTCTCAGGATCATCGATTATTGTGGCTGCTGGTAATGGAACCTCTGGTGGGTCGCTATCCGTATTATCCGG